ACAAATTATAAGTCTAAAATGAGAATTTTTAAAGAGAAATGTTGGAGGATTTCGGTTTAAGAGAAAAGGAGCTTGAGTTTGTTTACCAGCCCTAGTTGTTTGAACCCCAAGAAAAGCTTTCGATACTCTACATCTTACATTGCATCAGTGGTTACTCTTTTGGTGTAAGTTGACTTGTATTGGCAATCTGCCGGAAGCTAGTTATTTTACTTGATAAAATTTAAAATATGGATATTTTTCTTACAAAAACCCATCCCTTTGCTTCAGAAGGCCTTTATTAAATCCATACAGTCGTATGGATTACTTTTATGATGGATGGATGCAATTTTTTGGACTTCAAAATCAGAACCACCATTTATAAAGCTTCAATGAGCCAGGATATTTTTAAATATATCCCTGATTGTGGATCCTGATTCTGAAAGAAGATGAGTAAATCATGGGTGAACTATCCCTTTAAGTCTGATTGTGTTGGATTAGAAAGTTGCAGTAAACATTTTCTTACAAATGTTAACATGTAATATTTATTATATGTAATATTATATTTGTGTTTTATAAGGTTATAGAGTAGTGCTATCAATTAGTGCTGTCAATTAAAAAATTAACTAATTAATCACATATTTTTCTGTAATTCATCGTAATTAATTGCATCTAACGGCTTTAAAAAATACTATACATTAACTATAATAAAAAACTTTTATAAGTGAGCTTAAAACAGTCTTCACATAAATTGTACACCAATTTGTAATATAAGCGGCTTTCTGTGAACAAACAAACATATATACATGAGGGGTTTTCTACTCATTTGAGGCCGATACTCGACAAACAGAAATTTTGACATAAATTTGTGTGTTTTTGTCTGTTCGAGCACAAAAGAGAACTCAAAGTGGCACAGGCTATCTGAAGCAGCATTCAGTGTGCGTGTTTTGTTTGTTCACAGAAAGCCACTTCACAGTCTTATCACACTTGAATGGTTTAATAGCACAATGGTTTAATGAAAGATACTGTGATCATGTAGCCTATTAAGTATGACAGAAAAAAAAACAGATGCTACTTAAATTGCGTTGAATATTTTAATAAATTCATATTAAAATATATCATCATCAATATATTTTATATATTGTCATATTCGATGTAAAATTTTGGGCTATATGTCCTATTCATTAAAAAATAGCTCTATTAACAGAACAAGTTTTTCTTGCCACATGAAAAGATTTGTAAGGGCATAAACCAATCTGATTGCTGCCTGAAAACTGATTGTTGACTTTAATAATTCCTGTAAAAGGACTGCTCCTTTAGGCAAGCTCTGACAGAAGTATCAGAAAATAAACACAAGTGACATTTAAAATCAGCTTGAATAAAGATTAGCTTAATTATTACAAAGTAGTACAGTCAGCCTAAAGGCTACAGAGTTTAGCATCTTACATCATCTATTCCTTAGTGAACTGTAAATAGCAGCGAACCAATAGTAATAAATGGAAAGAAATACAAGAAGAGAAAACAAGGCCAAAACAGAAATATACCAGGCCCACAACATCTAATAAACTATTCAGAGTACTGTTATTCAAACATGTGACACAAATACACCACAAACACACAATGAAGAATCAACAAGGCATTTGAGTTATTATTCATCAAATCATCTATGCAGCAAAACGCATCTAAAATTTTGTGGCATAGTTGGATGATTTACCACATACAAACACACAATTCAATCAAGAAAAAAAAACCTTTGTAGCAAAGCTTCTTCACTTATGTTTAGATCTTTTGGCCAACCTTGTTTTGACCAATACCACATGCTTGCATCTTTGTCCACACAGCATGTACATCTACCACAAAAACAAACACACACACGCAAAACCATGGACCTGAAATATCAGCATTTAATGGATTCATATTTTGGTAACTCTTGGTTTTATACATTATTTGAGACATTGGAACATTCAGCTCATGCCTGTACATCAGTTTTTCACCCACTGTCAGCATGAAAAAAGTAGCAGTAGCAGCATCTATGCCGTCATACAGCAACACACGATGCACCATGTCACATGGTTCCTTGCCATTTTCTGTGATCAGCAACACTAGGAGATATCTAACTAATACCCATTATACCTTTAGACTGATTTACATTCCCTGCCATGCCACAAGATGCCGTATGGTTTTAGACACTTCACAGTGCATTTAAAACCCAACCATGACACATCAGATGCACCAGGATGCACTGTTGTGTATCAGGTCATGATAAGCAATCTTTCAGGACAGCATGTACCAGATAAGAACAGGTCATCTAGGATAAAATATTGTGTTGCAGGGCATCATAAAGCACCACAGACTAACGGAAACAGAGTTGCGTGTAATTTAACATGCTATACAGCATTTAAATGGCAACTGATATTAAAAATAAGATGTGAATCTACATGTAGATGTAAAGACAGCCTGGTTGCATCATGATATTAAGGACAGCAGAGGACTATCCACTACTGCTCTTCATTTCCACTGTCAAGCATTCCATGACCATTATCACCACCAATGTTTCTTCTCGTTTACACCACTGAGGTTTTTTGTGTGTGACAATATCAGCTTGAGCTTGACCCTAAAAGCTAAAATGAACATTCGGTTTCAATGTCAAATGCAAAGGGAATGTAGGAAACATCACAACATTAAAACTTACAGTATGAAATATGGATTTTTTTTAAGAAATTTTAAGATCAAGACAATTTCTATAATAAAGGTGAGAAAATGCCCTTCAAGAAATTGTGCTGTCTTCAGCTCATCTTGAATCAAATAATCTTTTCTCAATACATCCTCAATCAGTACCAGATGCCCTCAACTAATCCACAACCAATGTTAAATCTGTCCTCGACCTATCCACAAACAATACTGAATCTTTCCTCAATTTATTCTCAACCACTCCTGAATATGTCCTTACCAGATCCTCAATCTGTCCTTAACCCAATCTTAGCAAATCCTGAATCTATCCTTAATAAATCTTCACTCATCATCCCTAACACAACCGAGTCTTATTTTTTCTGTCATACTTCTAATGCAATCTGCTTTTTACCCACAATCCCTTTTAGCTCTGTATTTATTTCAATACATCCCAGAGTAAAGGTAAGGTCTGGCAAGCATTTAAATTTATTATCTAAATATTGTAAGCCAGATTTTTTCCAGATCATATGCTCATCAAGTCTGCATTTATTTTATAAAAAATATATAGTAAAAACGAATATTGTGAAATAGTATTAACGGTACAACCTAAAATATTTTCTGTTTTAATATATTTTAAAATATAATTTATTCCTGTGATGGCAAATCTGAATTTTCAGCAGAAAATTCCTCCAGTTTTCAGTGTCACATGATCCTTCAGAAATCATTCTAATATGATGATTTGGTGCATGATAAACAATTCTATTATTATTGTTTTATCAGTGTTGAAAATAGTTGATATTGTGTTCTGCTTGATATTCTTGTGGAAAACGTGATACTTTTTAAAAACAAATCTTTGATGAATAGAAACAGAATTTATTTGAAAAGAAATATTTTGGGTCTTTACAGCTAATTTTGATGAATTTAATGCAACCTTGCTGTATAAAAGTTTACTTTAAACCTTACTGACCCTAAACCTTTGAATGGTAGTGTATACATGTCCTTATATTTTTTTTATTCTTATATATTTATATAAATTTACAAAGAAACCGTGGTCATGTATAAACTAGCCAATGTGTTGAAAAGTATTGGAGCCTTGAAAAGCACCTCGTGTAAGTAGCATCTACCTGAATTTTTGATTTTTTATTCCTGCTCTCTTCATTTTTCTTTCATTTCAGCCCTTGTGACTCACCTGTTCAATCTTGGCAAGCCATTCTTTGTTGCGGGCCAGTTCAGCCATGAAGGCCTGGTGCTTCATCCATTTCCTGTGCAGCTTCTGAGCTTCATCTCGAGCTCCATCGCGAGCTGTCAGCATCCTATCGGCCTCTGGGAGCTCTGCTCAGCTATACCGTACACACATGCACAGAGCAGTCAGCAGACAGCTACGACACAGACACACTCTGTCACAATCTTTTAGCCATCATTTACACACACACACACAGCACTAGGCCCCATATATTCAATAGCAATGCAGCAGCACCACGAAAAACCTCTTCCCCTCCATCACCAACACACACACACACACTTCCCAAAAATCTCAGACCAGAGCAGAGGAGAGAGCAGCACCTCAGCAGAATGTGCAGCAGCAGTGGGTTCTGGTGCTCAGGGGTGGGGGATCCACTGGGTCTTCATGTCCTCCAGGTTAGCGTCCAGGCCCCTGCAGTTCTGCTGCAGTATCCGTGCGTCAGTCCAACGGCTCAGAAAAAAACAACCGGTATGCACGCACACGCAGGACAGACACCCACCGAAAGCGTTCAGTCTCCTAGAGAATCTTTAGTGGCAATGACTCCAGCAGTTTCCTGCAAAGAAAACACCGCATGATAATCCCTCAGGCGAGACAAGGACCAAATGCCGCGTCTTTGCCTGCCTGTATACGTCCGCGTCAGGGCGAAGCTCTGGTTTCAGCGCTGCGTCCAGAATCGCTACGCCGTCCTGCTGTCGACCTGGGTGGATGGGGGTTCGTCGTCGGAGTGGGAGGAGTTGCCGATGTGCGTGTATGTGGAGGGGGGGGGGGGGGTCGATAGCAGATTTAGACACGTAAAGACACAAGTTACCCTCTTTGAATGAGCTCACGCACTCACAAACATCGTGCTGCGGAGGATCCGACGGCTGAATGGATACACACGTGTGCTTTTGTGGGAAGATTCTCATGTGCTCTAGTGTGATTGCAATGCAGCATGCTGCAGTCACTCTCTCTCTCTCTCTCTCTCTCTCTCTCTCTCTCTCAGCGCAGAGAAAACCACCTCAATCCTATCAACACACTTTACTGCAGTGCCTCAGAGTGAGGGAGGGAGTGAGAACAAGAAAGAGGGAGAGGCAGTGAGAACGAGAGAGAGACAGGGGAAAAAGGGAGGGGGTGGTAGATGATGAAGGCAAAGGGGGGTGGTAGAGACGGAGGAGAGAGAGAGAGAAAGGAAAAGACGAGGCATGAGGATGGAATGTTGGCTACAAAGGGAAATACTGTAGGAGAAACACCTCTTAAAAGGACAAGGAAAAGAGAAAGGGAGAGACAGGTGGAAAGGAAAGGAAAGAAAAAGAGGCAACATTTTTCAGTGTCACTAGGGACGTTTAGCTGCACCGCGGGGGCAGGAGGGTGTGTGTGTGTGTGTGTTAGGGGACAGTAAGGAAAAGAGAACAGATTGGTTTAGAAAACAACCACAGGGATGCTGAGGCATTGGAGGTCACAGTCTCAGCAGTAGTGTTGGGCAGATGCCACACAATGTGTGTGTCTGTGTGAGGACATTCAGAAAGAAAGATACTGGCCAGATTAATTTGAGAGGTGGATTGTGTAATTACAAAGGTCAAAAGGGAAACCTGAAGGTTCAATGGGAGATATCTTGACTGTGTGTCTATAAGGTATCTGTCATCATTTCAAACAGCTGAGTGAGAGCAGAGGAAAGGACACACGTGTCACTGTAGCATAGCTGCTTCTAAATTAAAGGGACAGGCACATTTTAGAAATGTACACACCCAGAAAATAGAGGTTTGGACTGGAATATTTCTGAAGAAACTGACAGATTTAGCTTTCAAAAACAAATGAAGAAATTAAGCCTTTAAATTAAATGCAGGATTTGGTTTAGGAGAAAAATAGAGGCAAGGATTGTACAATGTGAATAATAGAATCTGTATGACACCCTGGGTGCTTGTTATATTTTGGACCAATGGTTTGCACAAGAATGAAATACAACTAGAGCTTTGTAGCTTAAAATATTATATTTGAGATCTGCTAGTGCAGGCCCAGACTTGAACCCGATTGAACATCTGTGGAGAGATCTGAGAATGGCTGTGCTTCCCATCCAACCTGATGAAGCTTAAACTTCTGCAAAGAAGAATGGGAGAAACTGCCCAAAAGGGTGTGCCAAGCTTCTAGCATCATACTCAAAAAGACTTGAGGCTGTAATTGGTGCCAAAGGTGCTTCAACAAATTATTAAGCAAAGGCTGTGAATACTTATGTACATTTTTTGTATTTTAAATACATTACATTTGCAAAGATTTCAAACAAACCTCTTTCACTTTTTCCTTATGGAGTATTGTTTTTGTAGAATTTTGAGTAAAATAATTAATTTAATCCACTTTGGAATAAGGCTGTAACATAAAAAATGTGGAAAAAATTAAGCACTGTGATTACTTTCCGGATGCATTATATATATATATATATATATATATATATGAAGAGTTCAGATGCAAAAGCCTCTAAGTGCCATTTGAAATTTTCTTCTAAAATTATCATTTTTATCAAGCTTGTATATTTAAGTTCAGTAATTTCACTTAAATGGCACTGAAGATTACCTATTAATTGTCATTTAAGTGAAATTACTGAACTTAAATATACAAGCTTGATAAAAATGGTCATTTTAGAAGAAAATTTCAAATGGCATTTAGAGGCTTTTGCATCTGAACTCTTCATATATACACACACACACACACACACATACATACATTTTGGAATTAGGCTGTAACATAAAAAAATGTGAAAAAAATTAAGCACTGTGAATACTTTCCGGATGCATTATATATATAAAAAAAAAAAAAATATATATATATATTATATATATATATATATATATATATATATATATATATATAATGCATCCGGATATATATATATATATATATATATATATATATATATAAATAATAACACACACACACACACACACACATATATATACATATATATATATATATATATATATATATATATATATATATAAACACACACATTCAAAAGCTTTTTTTTACTGCTCACCAAATACAGTAATATTTTGAAATATTATTCCAATTCAAAATAACTTTTTTTTAATTGGAATTGGAGTAAAATATAATTTACTCCTGTAATGGCAACACTGAATTTTCAGCAGACACATAACTCAGTCTTCAGGTGTCATGTGATCCTTCAGAAATCATTCTAATAAGCTGATATGGTGTTCAAGAAACATTAATTATTATCAATGTTAAAAAAAGTTGTGCTACTTAACATTTTTGTGGAAACCGTGATACTATAGTTGTCAAAGTTCAGCAGCATTTACTTGAAAAATAAATCTTTTGTATTTCTAAAACAAAAACAATATGAATATTTGGCCTATATGATTATATTTATAAATGATAAACAATAGGGGATTATCACGCTGATACGTAGTACTTCCGGATTCTGTGATCTTTGTGCACTGCCACTTCCATTGAATCACCGATCTCGCTGGCGAACTGATGAAGGACTACACTAAGTTTATTTATACGGCATCCCTGGTAAATTAGTCTGATTCAGTAAAGTGCCGGCTGCAAACAAACGTGCTACCTTGTTTTATTTTAAAGATGTAATCCACTTCTTCCTTATACTCAATTCAGTCGGGAATCCATGAAAACTTAAGTAGGGTTGGCGTTGTTGGTTAGATTTACAAAGTGGAACAGAGCAGTGACATATATAGCCTTCGTCTCAGGCATTGTTGAACTGCGTCGGAAGTGGTCATGCACAAAGTTGACAAATCCCACCCATGAAACCCGGAAGCGTGATAATCCCCTATAAAGAGAATATATACAGTAGGAAATATATATAAAAATTAAAGTTCATTCGATTAAATAAGTATTTGTAATTTTGTAGTGATATATGCATTCAAAAGTAAAACGTACAAACAAATACATAAAATATATTGACTTAATCATCTTGGCAGGGATGTATAAAAAAATTGATCCAATAAAATTTTGTTCCAGTCCACTAAATTAGAATTACCACCTAACACTAATGTAATGCTATAACAGTTAGCAGACAGTAGATCAGAGATATAAAATCACAAGAAAATAATTTTGACCACCCACCATTCACATTAATCAGCACCGTCACCTTCAGATCTTGGTTTGAATATGGCCATACTCCAAAAATGAATCAGGTTCTTCACCAGCATCCCATTCTGACAGGTCTACAGACACAAAAAGGACAGTGGTGAGAAAAACGTTAAAACTGAAATGAAACATGTCCTCTGTGGAATTACAAATTTAAGAATCGGTTTAAGATCTGCGGATCCTACAAAACATCACATAAAAAATTAAGGGATATACATTGTATTTGTCATTTAAGGTGAAGATGATAACATCAGATGAATGATTATTAAGCAAAGGTTCTAGGTTTCTGACATTTCCTGATCTCCATATTGGTAGTTAAAGAAGCATAGTACTTAAGGCTATCACCTTTTATCTGTGATGGCTTTTGGTTCCCCTGCCTCAATCTTGGTACAAATGTCCTGCCACATGATACAGTTATGCTGATTGGACTGGGGCTCATAAACTCCAAAGTCTGGCTGGGCTACCTGTTTAACGTTACATCTTTAGCAAACTTTGTTAAAGATTTCGACCTGAGTGCTTTGTCTTCACCTGTAAGGACTACCCTAAAATGTGTATAAAACTACAATGTGTAGCTTGTTAGACTTGACTGCAGCTAAGTTACCAAACAGCCGCTTTCTCAATAAAGAATTCTGCTGAAGATACACTGACTGAGTTGCCTGGTCTTCGCCTCAATAATTGCTTTTGTCATACTGTACACACTGTAGTTTTACTGGGCATAAAACTAAATGTTTTCCTAGGCATTACTTACATAAACGTATTACTAATATTGTGCTCATTAGCAAGTGAAGCACGTCCGTTAGCCTTTTTTATTTGATTGTTTGTTGTTTTTCCATTTTTACCATTCTCTCCAACCCAGTATGCCTAGTCAAAGAGTACAGATTTGAACAATTACCACATTAAAAAGCAACATCTATGAGCATATAAAGAGGGTCACATCTTAAAATAATTCACCTTCGTTTTCGTATTTCGCTGGATGTCAGAAATGCATAAACTTGTCTCCTGTCCATGTTTAAATCGGCAAAGGCCTTCAGGCGTTTGGCGCCCCCGTGTGGACAACATGTTAGAAACACCAACAAGAGACAAATTATGGAACAGTACAAACAATAAACAAAATGCGAATAAAATATTTATGTGAAATGTTTGTGAGCATTTATATGAAAATAGTATAACACAGTTGTTTGCATAAATGCATATGAAAAATGATATCACGTCACACGTATATTCTATTTATATTTTAAATTGTCACAAATAAACTAGTCACCAATACAAGTGTAGGAGTTTGTTTGTTTAAAGGGATACATGACATTACCACAAAACTTGAGTCACAATTTGCATTAGGCCAGATGAGGACCTACTGTATGTGGTCAAAATATTGCTTAATTTCGAATAAAACTTTCTTGTCAATTTCTTTTTTCTAGGTTTGCAAATCAGACACATTTTTCTCAATCACTGGCACTTTAAAAAAAGAGCAACATCCCCACACACAACCAATGGGTTGTTCTTTGTCTTTTCAAATTATTTCAATTTAATTAACCTCGTTAATCTGCATGAAGGGAGCTAAAGACGAACAAGTACTGTACAATCAGGTGTTATTAATCAAAGCTCCAGGACATGCAGTATGTTGTGTGTGTGTGTGTGTGTGTGTGTGTGTGCGTGCGTGCGTGCGTGCGTGCGTGCGTGTGTGTGTGTGTGTGTGTGTGTGTGTATGTGTAGTTGAGGGTGGTTTTGTTTAGAAGGCATGTCAAGATAACCGTGAATGTGAGCAGGCGTGAATTTCCAGTAACATCAGTATAATGTGAAGTCAAAATGCATCTTGAAGTCATTGGGTCAGGCAGATGTTATTACTGCTCATTGGTAATGACCTAGTCAGTGTCGCCATGGTGATACTGGCAACGAGCAGCATGCTGCATGTGCCAGTCTACATCAACATCTCAGACGGCCAGTGGGCACACGAAGCACAAGCAGTTTTTTTTTTTTTTTTTTTTTTTTTTTTTTTTTTTACTGGCCATAATTGTTTTCAATTATTTTCTGACAAACCAAAAATAACAAATGAGGAACATCAATAAAAAAGCTGTTGTTTTTAAAATATTACAATATTTACCACTTAAATCAAGTCAACAGTGATAAAATATAAATTAACTCAACATAAATGATTCTATAAACTAAAAACTGAAATAAAAATATTGTACCACTGTAGACGATTTACAACACTGTATCCTACTTCCCCTGGCTTAATTTCGGCTATTTTTGCCCACATACCGCATGGAATTACGGCCCAAGGTTGGCCCAAGTGCTGTTTGCCGCAAGGCAACCAGATCAATACCGGAAGCAAACTCGCCCAAAACGACGCCGTAATGCCCAACATTTTTGGGGAGTTCTTAGTCGGTATTGTGTATCAAATAAAACCAAAGAAGTGTCTTTTAAAATTGCTCACAGAATATATCCTGTGAAAGACACATTAGAGCGTTTTCATCTGGATATTGATTACAATTGCTGTTTTTGTAATTGTGAAAGAGAGTCTATTGTGCACTTATTCTTTGAATGTCCCTATTCTTCAATCTTTTGGAATGAGATGTCTCAATTTCTAGGTTTTAAAATGAATTGAAACCTTGTCTTAAATTTGTCTTCTGTCTTACTTCATACAAATGATTTTGAGTTTCCTATAAGAAAAATTTATGTTACCGATTTGTTTCTAGTAGGAAAATTTAATATTCATCAATCTAAGTGGAGTAACTCAAAACCCAACTTTGCTCATTTTAAAACAGCCTTTAAAATGTATTTTGAGTCTGTAAAATTTTTTAAAAATCGAAAAGCCCAAAGATCTGTATCCCTCCTAAAAGAATTTAATATATGTCTGTGATGCCCTCTATGTTTTTTTTTTTTTTTCGTTTTTTTCTTCTTTTTGTTGAATGTTTCAATGTTTTACTTATCAAATGTTATATTTATCAGAAAATGTGTAAAAGAAATGTCAAGAACTTGATTTCAAACTCTATGATTTTGAAAGTTGAATAAAAAAAAGTAAAAAAAAAAAAGCTCCTCACTTCCTTATTATGAAAACAATCTTCTCCAATCGTGTGGTTTCAGCTCTAAAATTGTGCAAAAGTAACTTACTGTACACGTTTTTTTCCTTTCATTTCGTTACGAAAACACAATATAAAAGCATTGTAGAACAATATTCTTTTAGAAACATTTTCACCGAGATTTTATTATGTGGTACTATGACTGAGTCACATTTTCGGTAATTTTATGATATTTTGATCATGTTTGTTTTGGTCACGGTTCGACAACATCGCGATAAGTAGAAATAAATACAGTCGAGTCTTTACAGATTATCTGAACACTATCAACTTCTACGTTGTCGGCGTGGTATCATTGACATTAGTCATTAAAATACTTACAATAATATTGGTTTTCATATTTGTGTTTGGTATCTCGATCTCGACCGTTAGGTGGTAGCATCGTGCAAGAGCAAACAGCGCGAGACCTCACTGGCGCGACCCGGTATTAATGCTGTGAGTGACGTCTTTACTTCCTCTTTGCTCCCGCACCGCGAGGGCAGCCATGGTGCGTATTGTTGTCCTGTGGACTTTCATCCAAAATCTGTTTTAATCCTAAGTATTTGAACAATTTAGCCCTAAACAAACTGCACAATGTGAATTTATACAGCATAGGCATTATTTAAATTGTTATATTGGGTTGTTTATATGACGAATAAGATGATTATTCTCTTTACTTGCCGACTTCACGAATAGTAATGTAGATGTTTTAACCGTAGCAGCATATGATTGGTATTTTAAATAAGTTTACTTAAACGCTTACGTTTTGTCTTTGCATATTCGAATGCATTATTCACACCATTTGAAGTTCCGGAATTGTATGTACATTTTAGTGAAAATATTGATTAGCTCGAGTGCTAGTTTGTCTCTTGCTAGTTGTCAGCGCCGCTGTAACGTTTTTGAACTTAGACTGCATGAGATTTCATTGACGAGGCGTGTTTTTCCGTAGGTAAACGTACCGAAGACCCGCAGGACTTACTGCAAAAAATGCAAGAAGCACCAGCCGCATAAAGTGACCCAGTACAAGAAGGGCAAAGACTCTCTTTACGCCCAGGGTAAGTCCTGAGAACTTGCTGGGACGTTGAACAGTGTAGATTTCACTGTCTGAAGAATTAACTGCATTTGTTTAATTGTTAATTTAGGGAAGAGGCGTTACGACAGAAAGCAGAGTGGTTATGGAGGACAAACGAAGCCTATTTTCCGAAAAAAGGTATGTTGGGTCTTGCAGATGGGTGCCATAGTATGGGAGCCAGAGTTGCCATGTTGCCTTAAATTCAAAATGTCTTCAATATCGTTCCAACCCAGTACTGCTGGTGTTTATTTGACATTTATCTGATTTTAAATGGCTATTTCAAGTCATTTTCTATCATTGCAACTCATGGTATTTTTGCAACAATTATTAGATGTGTCAAATGATCAATGAGGACCTAGTGAAGTTCATTCAGCAACTTCTCAGTATACAACAAAAATGTGGAATGTTATGAGAAGTGCTTTTGACCAAAATGAGGTCCATAGATTTGGTTTATGCACAAGTTTTCAAATGAATCCATGCGTATGCCAGAACCTGCATCTTTCCATACAAATCATTGATGTGATTCTTCCGGGATAAATATGATAAATAATTAAAAAGGCAAATCTTACAAGTCTTCGAATGCAATTGTATTTTGTTGGGAAGATCACTGTAGTTATCATTAGGATACTGTTTGCCGCCTTCATATAAGATCAAAAACACACCTCATTATTTTCATCTGACCTTTTGAAACTGACCAAATGGACTGTTCTACCTCTGAACAGAAGTGCGCATCATTCTCCCGAAGGATATTCTCAGAACAGGAGTTCTGTGCTTCAGTTTGAGGAATTCTCGTGTATGTAGCACTCTAAGCTGACATTAAAACGAAGCATGCCACAGAAACGTTCTTCTAAGTTTGTTTAACTTCTGGATAATGAAGACTGCATAAATATTTAATCTAAATTTGTACATCAAAATGATAGTCAAATCCTTCTGTTTACTTCGTTACTTAACTAACACCAGTAAAAGTGTAAGTAGTATAGAATGTGGAAGGTTCAAAGCTACATGTACAAATTACTATTCCTTAAGTGCCAAGTGTAAATGCAGCCTAAGTTGGGTTTATTTATATGTTGTTTGTGGAGAAACATTGCCCTCAATATTCATTGTTGATCATTGGATGTTTACATATCAGGTCTGATTGTCCCTATTTTTGCTGTAGGCTAAAACCACAAAGAAGATTGTGCTGAGGCTGGAGTGCGTGGAGCCCAACTGCCGCTCAAAGAGGATGTTGGCCATTAAGAGATGCAAACACTTTGAGCTGGGAGGAGACAAAAAGAGAAAGGTAATGAAATGCACATTAGCTGTTTAAAGAACAAGTAAAAAGGCAAATTTTAAACAATTTGTACTGACTATAAAACGTAGAAATGAGTGAAATGGTGGTTTGAAGGCGTTTAGTCATTAATTGTCTTAAATAGAAAATTGGAAATAATATTTGATTGATTTTTAGTGAAAGATTTGTGGTTATGTCTTCAAAAAGATTATCGGCTAGAAAATTCTCTATTTGTGAGGCAGTCTTTCGAAAATAATTGCATGGATATAAGTGCAAAGTAAAGCTGCAAAACTACTTGCTAAATCATTGGGTAAGAGATGTGGGAACCCTGATTTACTAAAATTAATCAGTGGGTGGATTATTATTATTATTTTTTTATTTAAGTCAAACGTTTAAACTCTTTAATTAGAATGAAATCAAATGTGTGGGCTTTAAAATATGTATTTTTAGTACATAAAGTACTGCTTAGTCAAACTGTCCATGATCTGTATATTGGAAAAAGGGTGACTTAACAAATTGTACTTTGGCATCAAGACAGAACCATTTAAAAAATGTAAAACTGTTTCTGACTGTTATAATATTTATGCATAATTTGTGTTTTCATCTTTCTTTCAGGGCCAGGTCATCCAGTTCTGAGCTGGGCCAAGTGCTTTTTTTGTGGTTTACCATCACTGTCAATAAAAGTTGTATACAGTTATGCTGACTTTGCCTTTCATTCAACGTCATTATCAAATTTCACTTTCAAATTAAGTTCCACACTAAGTGCACCATAGGGGACCAAAAAATACTCCAATGCTCTTGTAGTTAGAGGCAGAGGGAGGGGACGTGATATGTTAGAAATTGTAACGCTTCAACTTGGCAGCTAGAGGAAAAGATGTCTTGAAGGTATTCATTGTCTGGTCTTTTTGCTCTAGTGAGTACAGCCATATTGTTAGTTCAACCTGAGAAAATAATATTTAAGCATGGGCAGTGAAAATGTACTATTACTTTTTTATCCGTTTTTAGATCCAATTTGATGCCTGTCAATAAAATGAAAGCTTGTATTGAGGTTTGATTGCTTTCCTATTTATGTTTATCTGTACATGCATGACTAGAAAATAAATGCTAAACAAGTCTTTCCTCGTGGGCCACCACCGCTTGATATGACCACAACCAAATTTATGCTTTCGCACTATAAATATGGTCTCCTGAATTAGGGCTTATTTGCCAATACAGTTATTTTTAATCCATGTAGCAGCATTAAGGTCTATTCAAAGTCTTCCTCAAACAGCCATGAGGAAGAATCCATTTATCACATTTATTTTTAACAGACAGAAACAAATGTGCTTAGTGCAACAAAGGACTTGCACTGGAGTGATTCAGTCATTCTTCATATAAACTAAATGTTTATATGGTGTTTGTGTTCTTAGACACGTGCACTGTAGCTCACTCATGCAGAGAAAATGTGTTGAATTTCAATGTCCTTGATACAGGATCTCATCCTAACTGTCTCTCAAAATGGGATACTGGGAAGTTCATAAGTCGTAAAGGCTGTCAGGGTCGCAGTTCAGGGATAATGTCCTCATTTCTAAGCACTTTGTATGTGAACCAGTAGAGCACATTGAAAACAAGGAAGCTGAGCGGGAAGGCAGCTCTTGAGATGGTGTCGATCCGTTTAGCTCGTTCCACGAAGCGCCGGCGGATGTCAAACAGAATGTGGCCGGGCGGCAGGCCTGCAAACATGGCAGCAGCCTCAGAGAGAGGCCCGTCCCCAGACAGACAGGTGTCCATCTCGTATCCCGTGAAGTACAGGTCCTGGTTCTGTGAGGCTAACTGCTCTTCCTTAAGAAAAAAATAAATAATGCAATATACACTAGTAAAATAATGGTTTTCAAAAACTCTCCCGCAGGCTGTATTTTTTTTATCCAAATAAAAATAAAAACTGTACAAATTTTACTATTTAAAATTGACAGTTATATGTTTTGATACATTATTAAATGTATTATATTTCTGAAATGGCAACGCTGTATTTTCAGCATCATTACTCCAGTCTTCAGTGTCACATGATCCTTCAGAAATCCTTATAATCTGATTTGGTGCTCAAGAAATATTTCTTATTATTATCAATATTGATTAACTGTACTGTTTAATATTTTTGTGGAAAACATTTGTTGTCAGGAATAGATAAAAAAATATATAAATCTTTTTGTAACATTAAATGTATTTACTGTCTTTTGATCAATTTAATGCATTCTTGCTGAATAAAAGCATTCCTTTCCTTAATGTCACAAAACTTTTGAAATCCTCTTTGTTATTTCAGAACTTGCATTACATGAAACGGGAAGACAGCAGAGTAATATGGGAGACATGAAAGTAGCACCATTACGTTGCCATCAATCATGGTCATTACATAAAGATATTGGACAGCTCAATGTCACAACTGACCAATCAGAATCAAGCATTCATTAGAGAAGCATGTTTATAAGTAAATATATAGTTTGTGGGTGCATACCCGTGCGCAGGCACTGCATTTGCGTTGTGCGCTTTTGCTTGGTGTGCTCCCTGTGACGTTGTTGCTTTTGTTCTTCGTCTCTGCTCCTCCAGCCTGACCAGAGGCCTGAAGACAAAACAAAGACACATTTAAAAACGGATTCATCATTTATTCAAACAATAAAATATTCTCTTCCCATCTTCAACAGACCTCCCTGTCTGGCTTATCTGTAACCATGCATTAGAGATATGAAACAGGGTCACAATGTACCTTAAAAATCTCTGAGGGCATGAACATTTGTACAGATATATCTTTTATTTGTCAGCAGGTACCAGTCTGAATCATTTAGTGTTTTAAACAAGGCATTTATTTACTCTCCAAGATGCATGCATTTTCTATTAGTTTTTCAGTCTAAATACGTTTTGTCAGTTGCAATAATTTTCCTTGGCCTTTTCTCTCTTTTTTGTGCCAGCTTTCTTTGGCTTTCCTCAAGTTTTCTCTTTTCTTTTCCATGGAGGTAATTTATTCTAAGTGATATCTTGTATTTCTTTGTGTGTGTGAGAGAGAGAGATCAACAATGACAGTGTATTTTGTTCCTTTGGGAAAGAATGCTTTATTAAGGATGAGATCCAGTCAGTTTGGTGCGTTTGTGTTGAATCATATTGTGTTCAGTTCGCTACCTTGGGCACACATAAGATCAGACAGCCTACTGAACCACGCTGCTGGAACCAAACAGCCAGACAGAGTGTGTGTATGTGTGTTTTAGTATGTATGTGGCTAACACCACATTCACAATAATGTGTTTTTTATTTGTTCATTATGCCTAAAAGCTTGAGTGCAGTAGTATGTTAGCTTGTTTGCATGTTCTATACCTAACAGCATCCCTAAGGCAAATGAGGGGGCATAGCGCCACCAAACTCACCCACTGGGCTACATACACACACACACACACACACACATGACCTGCCCTGCAGGGTGATAGAGGGGATATGGAGGAGGAATAAAAAAGGACAGGATAGTGTAATATTTATTCTCTCTGCTCTTTGTAGCAGGACAGAGTCTGCTGTGTCCAAAAGAAAGCCACGATGTTCTCTCAACTAGCTGGTTAAGAGCAGAGTAACAAAGAAAAGGAAATAACTGCAATCTTTGCAGACTAAAACTCCTGAGAGGAGTCTAGGAATAGCCTCCTATTCCAGGCAGACAAAGGGCATGTCTGGGTCATAATACACCTCAAAAATCCAAAAGACAAAACAAGTAATTATATGTAGCATAAAGAAAATGAATTTTCTTTTTAGGACCATTAAAAGTGCATTGTGAGATTTTCCATTAAAAGCACAATTACCCCCCACCCCATTCTCATTAGTGTAATCCATCTGGATGTTTTTCTTAAGGGTTTGTTTGTATGTTTTCACTCATTTCACATATTTCAAATTATATATTACTTTCACTTAAAAAAACATAAAACATGTTCGACATGATTCATGAGATTTACCTTTATAGCCATTGTCATTGAGTATTACACAAAATGCAATTTTGCAATGTTCAAAGTTAAAATACTGTCAAAATATATGTGACAGCTTAATATTTAGAATTTATGAGAAAGCCATTTGTATTAAAAAAAAAAAAAAATTTAAAATGCTGCTTTGTTTATTTGAGCTTGACCCAACAACAATGGATCAACCAATGGCGTGAGCTTTGGGCGGGACTATCTGTCTCAACAAACAATAGATTAAAATTCAGAAAACCTGTTTGAATACAATGATTACTTTAGCTATTCTATTTGGTGGAGCTGATAGCCCAGAAATTACACATTTCAACTTTAAAAGAGAAATGATGTTGAACTTATCAGTTTCGTATTCAACATCACAGGGACATTCTCCATATTTAAAATCCTGCAGCTTTTTCGCTTTCTTCCCATTCATGTTGTCCCATATTTTTATGTGGAAATAATAGTATTACTCATGACATACTTTTTATGCCATCACTGACCTTCCCTCTCTGCTCTGGAGGGGGCCAGGCGGCTGCTCGTGAAACATCATTGGGACACAGTGGTTGTACAATCTTAAGGGCACTTAATGCATATCTCACGTGTACAACAGAGGAGAGTTTCTGACTGCCACTCACAGCTCTATAGCGTTGTTCCTCCCGTAGTTTTCTCCGCAGTTTGAAGAATTCTTTGTGTTGCCGAGATACAAAGTTAACAGCTGCATACTCCAGCAAAGCAGCAAAGACAAACAGCAAGCACACTGCCATCCAGATGTCAATAGCTTTCACATAGGATACCTGTACATATGCACACACAGTGTAGTTAATGCAAACACATATGTTAAAGGAACATTCTTGATTGAACATTCATTAAGAATCTGTCAAATGCGGTTGATTGAGAGAAAAAACAAGGGATGCACAGATAGGATTTTTTTGGGAGGGGGGCTAACAACTAAACACTTGCTCTCATTGAAATAGTTTAGTGTTTTGATTGCGTTTTAAATTTCATAAATGCATATTGCTAGCTGGTTTATTTTTCATGCTATTTGCAGATGGTTGTAAATTGATCAAAAATCGGCAGATGAACATATGGGTGGCCGATACATCAATGTATCTCTATTCTCTAGTTTTAACAGGTCATAGAGGTTTGGGAAAACATTAGGGTGAGTAAGTAATGACTGATAGTGGATGAATGTACAGATGGATAAAGTAGATTCTCTCCCACCTTAGGCAGTGATGCTCTCGATCCAGAGCTCTGTGTTGTCATGGTGAGAACTGTAGTGATGCCCAGCCCAACCCGGGCCGGGGCAGCATCCATGTTGATCCAGAAGGAGACCCACGACAGGATAACAGTTAAGAGGCTGGGAATGTACATCTGGATCAGGTAATAACCCATCTGCCTTTCCAGATGAAACTTCACCTCTATACAAGTGAACTTACCTGGGTGAAACACACACTCATGTTAGACAGCAAGAATAAACTAGTGTCATTTATAGTTTCTTATACTAACCAAACACATTGCAAGCCCCTAGCAACCACCCCAAACAACCACTGAGAACACCTCAGCAAACGCAGAGCAACCCGCTGGAAACAACACATTTAGAAAACCTTAGCAACTGCATAGTGTGATGGATTTAAAAAAATAAATGAAATAGTAAACTGTTTATCAAACTAATCACAATTCTAACATCTAACCTTACTTCTTCTTTAGGCCTTGAACAAAATGTAGTGGGAAATTCTGAGATGCTGGCTAGACGATATGAAAAATATAACAGTCTAGAATAGTCTCATGACATATTGAGTAATCAACTGAACTTTTAACTTTTTCCATTTTTATAATGATTTGAGATCTAAGTTTGCTCCTACCTAGTAACAGAAGGGTTTGTATTGGAGGAAAGTGTAGGGAAATTATGTAATGCCCCATGTCATTTTTGCCATGCTCCTATAAAAACTGTTGCTGGTGGAATTCTCTCTGAGATTTGTCTGATTAAAGCATATTCAAAGGCATTGTCTGGAGTCTGTCTAAGTTAATGCTGCACAGCAAGTTAGTTAGTGGAACAAGTTATTTAGCGAAACACTAGAGATCTTACTTCTATTCCCAAGTGATAATGTGGGACGGGATAAGAACACTAGTTACCTTATTCCCAAGTGATAGTGTTCGAAAGGTGGCGAGACGTAGTTTAACTCTTTGTGAGACTCTTAGGCGGGGTTAGATTGTGGTCAGGTAACTTTAATTCTTAGGCATTTTAGAATAGCTACACTTTGGCATCAACGAGCGGTCAGAGGTGAACTCAAGTATAATAATTTCAGGTGTCTGTCAGGTGTGCGTAGGGGAAAAATCTACCACGATAGCAACACCCTAGCATTCTATCACAGTGAAGTTTTGAACGGACAAGCATCAATTATTTTTACTTCTAAAAACCTATTTGTCATTATTATTCCCCATAACACGTATTATCTATCTTATGAAATGTGTAACTATTTATATCAAAATAAAATGGTGGAAATGTGGTACATCACAGTGCTCAATATTTCAGTTGAAGCTTTACTGTGGTATTTAGTGCTGTACCAGTGTTGTAATGTTTTGTACAGTATCCCAGGTCTTTCTCCTCTTTTAGGACAAACTGGGGCAGCATAAGGTCATCAGCCACTTGCACTGGGCCTTCATCCAACCACTGAAATATCAGATCATTCATAGTGTAGCCAACTAGAGAGAGAGACAGAGAGAATAATGTGCATATAAAAGAGAAATGAGATGGAAAAAATGAAATTAGATGATGATGCTGAGTCTTACAGCTCTCTAACTGCATAGTACAAATCTGTATGTCCATTGGAAAATTCTTCAGATCCATAGGACACGACAGAATTAGAGTGAGTCTGAGAGAGAGAAGAGACATTTCTGATTATATTTCGTGCAATAATTTGGAATTATTACCTATAGGGGATAATATCGCACCTGATGCTATACAGCACATTTCCATTCTGGAAAATCCTCAGCAGCTTGTTGTCCGTGGTGACCTCATGAAAGTTGGCGCCTTTCTCATTGGCGAAGAACAAGTCTGGCTTCCAGATGGAGTCTAGCATTGATGGATCCAGATCCAGGGAATCATCTGGATACTCTTTATAAGCCAGCCGTGGATCATTCCACTGTTGCCGCAGAAAAACGTTCAGCCGATAATCCTGACGAGTTACAGTATTGTTGAGAAATGTATCAGATGGCAAAGCAGCCGAGTAAAATACGTAAATATTGAAATTCTATCTATCTCTCTGTGTGTGTGTGTTTGTGTGTACATGTTTTTCTATCCTGGTGGGGACTGAAACCTGAATGCACACAGACTATGGGGACCTAAATTGAGGACCCCATGGGTAAACACGCTTATAAATCATACAGAAATATGTTAAAATGCAGAATGTTTCCTGTGATGGGATAGGGACAGTGTAAGGGGATAGAATATACAGTTTGTACAGTATAAAAACCATTACGTTTATGGAGAGTCCTCAAAAAGACAATAAACCAGACATGAGTGAGTGTGTGTGTCTGTACCATGGTGGTCTCTGTGATGGAACCAAAGCTGTTGATAAAAATGTTGCAGGTGACATTTACAGGAGGGCCTAAAAAGGAAAAAGAACATCGTAAGAAACAAAAGCACCCCTCTCGATACTTAAACCAGCCTAAAATGCTTCACTGGTCTTACCTGCTTTACAGTGGTCTAGCCCAGGGGTGCCCAACCCTGCTCCTGCCGATCAACTGTCCTGCACAGTTCATCTCCAACCCTAATTAAACACACCTGCCTTTAATTTCCAAGTGACCCTGAAGACCTTAATTGGTTGCTTCAGGTGTGTTGGGCACCCCTGGTCTAGCCTGTTCAGCCTTGTGTTTTACTGGTCATCCAGATTTACTAAATCCAGCAAACCAGACCAAAATGAACAAATAATCTTTGGCTAGCCTATATATGCTATTTTTTTTCAGCAGGAATAACAGTCGACTAAAGGTGTGATTCATGTCCATAGTGGCCGAAAAGAAAAATATTAAAAACTCAACATCTGTGTCAACCATTTTAACATGTTAGATTAGATAAATAATTCAAGCAGAATTGACCCGCTGTGTCAGCTTCAGTGTCTTGAATAAAAAGAAATTCTCAAGCAGCAAATAACAGATAGCAACAGAAAAATACTGAAGAGGTTGTCTGAGATTGTTAAATCAATTTACAAGTGATGAAGCATTTTCATGAACACGAAAAGCCCATAGCGAACCAGACAACTGTAAAATGCCTCATTCACAAACTATACGGCTGGCTATGCTAATTTAGTCGATATGTTTAATTAGCACTCGGTTGCTCTGTAAATATTGCAGCATTTTATTTATTGATTTAATGTTCATGACATTAGCGATATATATAGCTTATCAGAGGGGACATTCCCCCCACATACGCTGACAGCCACATCTCTGAGATGTAGAACACATATGAAATATATACGAGCTCAGAGACACCCACAGAGAGAATTCAAGAGAGAGATTGTGAGAAAAAAAAGAGGAGTGAAGAAAGAAAAAGAAATTCCAGTTTTAAAAACATAAGCAAGAGAAGGAATGGAAAAGACTTATTTAGGTCTGTGGGTTAACATGCACTCGAGTGGACAGCATGACAAACTAAATGGCCCTAATGCCAACGGAAAAAATCCTCACAGAAGCTGTTGTGACACTTTTTACGGAGAGAAAACTAGCGTGAGCTGACAGCCGTATCCTGCATGTTTCTGAAATCATTCTCATCGACTGGGACTGAAAGTCTCGTATTCTGTCGGTTTTCGCCTGTGGCTTTCTCTGGTTGAATGGTCACTGGGAATCTGTGTGAGGTGGGGAAGGGAAAAAATAGACTAGAGAACTCTTCGGGAGGGGATCTCATCTTTAATGAGATCTTATGTTTCTCTGTGTTTTCGGGCTGCAGCACTTTTTCACATGCAAGGCTCAGAGAGAATGTAAATATATTCTTTGCTGACCACATCAAATTTTCCTGCCAAAACCATCTATGTACAGGAGATTAAGCTGCAACAGCAGTTTTACTTACTTCTGGGTTCCCTTATGTGATGTTTAAAAATGACCAGGCTATCATTGAAAGAGTTTGAAAGAAGAGAGAATGAGTGACAAGAGAAAGACCGTAGTAGACTGACTCCTAAAGTCCTTCCAGGGGTGGTGATGGCACAGTGGACAAGACACATGCCTTTGGTGTGAGAGACCTGGGTTCAAATCCACTGCGAGACACCAATGTGACGCATAACCCCTAGTCAAGTGTCACATTGGTGTGACACTTAACTAGGGGTTAGAGTTTGAGCAGTGGGCCGCCGGATGGTGTTGCGAAGAACTTGCGATATATAATTGTTTTCAGACCAGCCCTCGCAACCTCAGAACACTACCGGCCCACCGTATAGTTTATAACATTTAAACAATATACGTTATAAAACACCACTCACAAAACACAAACTTTTGAACGGTATAGTGTTCAATAATTGAACACTATACCGTTCAAAAGTTTGTGTTTTTTGAAAGAAGTCTCTCATGGCTCGTTTCCACTGAGCAGTATGGTACAGTATGGTACACAATTATTTGTGTTTCCACTGTCAAAAGTTAAAAGTGATATTCTTCATTACTTCAATGAGCTCACTGTTTCTGCCTTAAATTATAACATTGTTTAAATTAATACATCTATAGCTAATTGTGATTTGTATGTGCTTTTTTGAAATACATAACTTAGACAGCTACCTCTGATAACAGATCCCTCTAAATTGTAATGTGGACTTGAAATGATGAGTATTGTGAAAAGTGCTACTTAAATAAATGTGACTTTTTTATCACACAGTAATTGACTGTTTTTGCCTCTCATTTGCATAAATTTTTTTGATGCACTCATTACTATCTAAATATCTAAATATTTTATCTAAATAATGTTACAGTAGATTGGAGTGGAATACCTTTAAAGTTGGGCCTGATCCGAGCATCATATCCGGACGTTTTCCCCATTAGTTTATCCAGAAAATCAGACGGCGACATGGGCTTCACCCTACTGCTGGGAGATTTTAGCTCCTTACTAAACACACACCTGAGAGAGATGAAATAATAATTATAAAATTACATCAGATCTACACCCACCTCCAACAGAATCATCAAATTAAATAGCAGTTTGTTTTTCAGTGGGGTCCAAATTCTGAGACCACTAATAAAATTGCTTTAGCATTTTTCAAAATCCTCATGAATCAGATTTCCCTCAACCATTTATATAGAATAACTGATGTGCTTTGCATTCATCTCTCCCTCTTTGTCTTCAGAAACTTCAATTTATTCCGTCTAATTGGAAGTTAAATGACCAGAATCCCATTGTGGTGTCAGACTTTTGGACTGTATTTGTGTGTGGTTTAATAAGTATACTCTATGAGCTCTTTCTGTTGTTCATTTTAACATTCACTGGTGCCAAAAGGCTTTATTACCATTCCATTATTAACTGAATGCTTTGGTAATAATGTTGGCCAATTTGAAAAGTGAATGGCGGAGGGAAATCTGCTTGCTAACTTAAAGCCTTTAGTAAGCCTTTAAATGAGCACATCAGTACGTCATCTACCCCATGTTTTATTAAAAAAAAAGCCTCCACTGGACACATCCTGTCTGTTTCTCTGTGTGGCTGCAAAATTAAACAGCATTGGCATTTTTATTGCCTTGGCCCTAATTGCAGTTTGTATAAGGTGTTAATATTTTATTAAGAAAGAGTTAAGTGGAAGTCCAAGTAGGGGAAAAGTCAGTTCTTTCTCACACACACTTTGAATCTTATTCTATATTTAGAGAAATTTTCTGGTCCAGTTCCTCTTCAATTTCGCTGTCTGTTTGTAAGCAGAACTGTGGCAAATTCGATTTTTGAAAGCATAAAGTCCGTTTCAGACAGCATACAGGGAATGGAAATAAACACAAAACGAATGCATCCTCAGGTGAGTGAAGAACAAGAAATGTCTTGTTCCAGATAAGACAATAATAGTTCAATCTCATTATGTGAACTTCAATAAATCTGTAATATCAGTAACAGTGAAAAATGACTTTGGACAGAGCTGTCTCTATGTGTCAGCCTCATACATCAGAGACCCAGATACATAAAGCCAACAAACACACACTCTGAAAACATAAGAGTGCTCCCCGGGATTAAAATAAACCCATCACCCATGAAGACTTCTGAACTGAACACACAAACAAAATACAGACGACTGAGCACACAAACACACACACAAGTATGGAAAAAAATATTAAGGAAGAAACTGGTCATTTTAACCAATTACACAGATACACCTGAGTTCTTCTGAAGACATTTTAAAACTACATTTGTATCTTCACAAAAAGCCTCTACAAGTGTTTTAATGAATGACATGCTGAAACCAGTGAGGAATGATGGCACACCTGTGAAAAACTCACCTGATGACCCCTTCAAACATCCACCAAACCAGTAAGAGCTCCAACAGGATCCTCCAAATCACAGAAAACATCCTTTCACTATTCCGCTGCGCTCTTTTCCTCTCTGGTGTCCCGTGGCTAGAGCTCAAGAAGCAGATGTGTTATGGAGGGGCAGGACGCCCATTCCGATGCACTCTGGTCTCTCCTCCACTGCCATCTGACTGAGCACCGCATCCCAAGACGGGCACACTAAGAGTGTGTGTGTGTGTGTGTGTGTACGGGGGGTCTTCTGCTCTTTCTTTCTCTCTCTATCCACATGTTAGCCTGAGGTGCAGTTCTTAGAGAAAAGAGAGGCAACAGGGCGTAAGATGCATTTATAGACTTTTATCAGAATAAACAACTGTGACACGACTCCACCTAAGGGGCTCCAGATCCACATCCCAAGACGCACTGCAGCAGAGGACAAACATCCATCCATCTTTTCTGATATCTATATTCTTGACACATAACATGGGCTGTTGCTTAACAGTAAGAATTAAGGTTCAAATGATGTATTAGAAACAGTTTAGATTGTAGGTTCTGTGACTGGTCACCATTTATTTTGAATTTCCTTTCATTTTTAATCACCTTTGTGCCTGGCAGTTTACTTCAAGTCTTTAACGTTACAAATACCGCATGTATAGTCTCTTAGTAAATATGAAACATAATATACACACTGCTGGTAAAAAAGGTTTGGGTATAAGATTGTGAAGTCTCATTATAAACAGTTTATTATTACCAACATTATTAAAAAATATATATTATCATGAAAAAAAATTATTCTTTGAAGACGTTCAAAAGAACAGCACGCATTTAAAATCTTTTTTAAATCATTTGTAATCCTGTAAATGCTTCACTCTATATATGTATTTGTGTGGTACATATAGGTTATATATATTTTCCATACTGAAAGCTGAAAATGTGTTTTTGAAAGCAGAATGTGCAGGAACAGTTTCCGTCACCCCCCTTTTATACTGCTTTACATGAAACGGACACTCACTAGGACAAAGATGTGGAGTAAAAGAGAAAAAAAATAAGACAAGAAGAGTGGGTGTAAGAAAAACAACTGAAAAAAAAAAAAGAAATCCTACTGAGCTCTATGTGTTGAGTCACAGTGGATAACTAGGCCAGTGTTAATTTTAATGTATCTTCTCTCCAGAGTGAACCAAACTAAAGAAAAACAAGCCCAGTTTTTCTCTGAAATGACACACACTCAGCGTTCATGTCCATGATGTGTTAAAACATTGCCTTGACCTCTGGAGGAATTGGAGCACATGCTACAGTACGCACACACACTTATGCTCCCAGCCAACATAATTATCCAAGACCCACCAAATACACACACCACTGACTTCTAATCATTAACACGTCTGAAAACAGTTATTAACCAATGAATCGTAAAATTTGAAACGCCACATAAACACACATTCACTTCAATTTTTCAGTCTCCACAGGGGTTAAAGGTACTCAGGCATTCTGAACTGAGAATTCATGGCTGACTCCAGATTAACTGGCGTGGAAGCAGAAACTTGTGTGTGTTCGGGTCAGCGACATCCACCCTGTTCATATGCTTTAGAGAATATTGTGGTCCTAAAGAACGATCTCAGAAACATCTGATCTTGTTTTTGTGGAGGCTGGAGCTCAGATTTAATACATAACTCAGTCATTGCAAACCACCAAAAATACACACACACAATGTTAAATGTGCTCCCCGCTGATAGGAAAACAAAGAGTAACTATTTTACCCAAATTGTGAATGTGATGCAACATAAAGACAGCGTATAGCGAAATAACAACCTTCCGTTAAGTGGTCTACAACGCAATGCTATGTTGTCCAATTCACAAATAAAAGATTTGTACAGCATTAATAGAGAGGATTTCACATTTAATCAATTTAGCTGAAATAATCTGAACCTGAAATCACTACCCAATCTCATAGGTATAGTACAAGTATATCCTATTCAGTATACTGTAAAGCTAAATCTTAAAACTCTTAAATTCCACGGCATGTTTAATCCTGCTTTGAAAATAAAAAATATCTGCAAAAATTACTTAGATAAAATATTGAATTAATATTAATCTGTAATCTGTACCAAGGTTACAAAACAACATCCAAATAGCATTTGGAGACGTCAAAATATTTCATTAAACATCAAAATTTCATTATTTCTCAAACTGTATTTTTCTCCTATGCCACATCACTGCAGAAAGAATGAGCATTTTCCTATTACTCAGACCTGTATATCAGAGCGCTGGTGCATAAGAAAATAGGTCAAGGCTATGTTAGGGAACATGTTTGCAGGCAATCACAGGTTTAATGAGCCTTACCATATTGCATCTTCTCCACACATCTCAAAACCCTCAGGGCCACACCCATATCGGAGACACGGGCGTTCAAATGCACAACCTTTCAATTTCTTGCACTTGCAGATGGTTGGTAAGTTCCTGGAAAGACTTCTGGAAAGGCCGAACAATCACTGCATGGTGTTGATAAATGTTAACAAAAAATAAGTTAGAAAAAATTCAAATGAAACATGAGGCATAAATAAAAATAATTTACTTTTATTTAGTTTCATTTGTACCAGCTGCTTTGATCGTGCAGACAGAAAACTGTGCAACCAGGTGTCAGAGGAATGTCTTTCATCTGGTTTTGTTTGATTCAAAATGCAATTTTTATTGCAATATTCAACAAAAGTGGTTATCCCGTCAGGCTTTGGAGGAGGTGTTCAGAAGGGATGCATTCAAGAGGTGATATGAAAATTTACTGACCTCAACAGGAAAAAAACACAGCACTTTTCAATACAAACAACAGGTATAGATTTCCCTCAGTAGAAAATTAAGTAAAACTGTTTGAACCAATCCATGAGCACATTGAAATCACAGCCCCAGAGGCAGCATTGCATGTGTCCTGATCTCAAAGAGTTCAAGGTCATAATGACAGATGACAGGCTGTTGTAAGCCTGTATGTGTTTGTTCTGTGAGTGTGTGTATGTCTTTTTCCAAGTTCACTCCACAGAGATATGGAAAGAGAACAGAGAAAACTAAAGATTATTCAGTCCTCATGGATGTTGAAAAGCTTGGCCACCTCATTCAGATCTGTATGTTCCTCTCCATCTTTGATGATCTACAAATAAAAACAAAACAACAAATTAACAATCTTTATCAGAGAGACATTGAAATGAAGATGAATGGAGAAAGGGAATGATATCTCTGCTCACCTTCCTTGCGACGGGCATTCTGTTGAAGACGTTCCACAGAATGATACCAACCACCACTTTGTCCCTCAGGTAAAATATCACTCCCTTCCCATAATCCTCCTTCTGCTGGATAGGAGGTGGAGGGGCCGCTGTTCCTGCCTCAAACGCCCCGGCAACCTCCTCCGTCTCACTCTCGGAACGGATTCCAGTGCCTGTAAACAAAGAAAACTGCTTTAGACACAGTTGCTCCATTGCGCTTAAAGAAGATTTAAAAAAAAAAAAAAATAGTACCGTGGTACAACAAGCACACTCAGGCCCTTAAGAAAGCAGCCAGAAAAATGGAGCGAAACTGGAAGAAAACTAAACTAGAGGTATTTCATTTCATTTTGCATTTCATGGAAGGAGAGCTCGATTGCTTACAGAGAGGCCTTAAAAACTGCTAGATCTGCTTATTTCTCAACCCTATTAGAAGAAAATAAACAAAACCGTAAGTATTTATTTGAAACATTTGCTAAACTAACGGAAAAATAAAGCTTCAAGCCCAGGAGTTTCCAAGCAACACTGGAAGGACTTTATGACCTTGTTCACTTATAAGACTGATAATATCAAGGAGAAATGTATGACCATGCAACCATCATCTACTATAGCATCGCATCAGAGAGTGCATTGTAGTCTCCCCAAGTAAAAATTCAACCCTCAAGTTAATAAGTGAATCAATTAAAACTAACTTTAGCTGGAAAATAACTTTATTCTAGAGCTGTCATAAAGCCAAAACAATCCCTGTTACTTTAATTTCCTATTATCACTGTAGAGCAGCTTTGAAACAATCTACATTGTTAAAAGCACAATATATTTGCTATTGAATGCAAATGATGATGATTGATACTTCATTAATCCCATTCAAGATACTCAAGCCATCCAGTACCACAAAAGATCACAATATACCACAAAAGGATACAATATTAAAATTTTAGCAAATGTTTGTGTACCTGATTGTACGGTTGCAGCTTTTGGTGTGTCCTTAGCCGTGGCTTTAGCAAACACTCCCACGGTGGGCAGACTGCTGTCCACTATACCGATGGCTTCATATCCAACATCTGGTCCTAGATCACTCCTGAAGAAAGGACAAATTGTGAGTGCCCCATTCTGCTTCAGGCCAGGGTTCCCACTCTATCATAAACGCCAGATTCAAGGACTTTCAATGAATTTTAAAATCTCCTTTTATTTTATATCAAGCACAACAAAGAAAATAAAGGTGGGCTTGTTACTGCCAATCTGGACAGTATCAAAGACCTACTGTACTTGTGTAGGTGTAGGTAATAAAAACAACTAATTTTAGCATTTAAACCATTTTATAAGAAAAGGGATGAGTCAAAATGCTAAAAGATTATACATATTAATTTAAAATATGATTATATACAAAATTCAAGAGACCTTATTATTTTACACTTTTAAAAGCAAATTATCTTCCTATCAATCCACCAGTTGACATTTACAACACTGCTCATAAGCTATGTAAGAATATGGGTTATTCATTGCAGATTGGTCTGAACAAAAACAGCAGAATTGAATCTGAATTTACTTTCAATCTGACAGTAGATGTCACTTATTGAACAGCAGAAATATATTTGTTTCCCCAGTTCCCTCTGTAATTGACAACACTAAGCATTTTTCATTGGAATTTTGATTAGCCAATTTTTATGTAGCTCAGTAATGAGCCAAGCAACATTTAATTTGCACTTCTCTGATATTGAACTAGTTAAACAGCTCTATGCCTCTCATGTGTTCATCACGCAGGGCTACCTGTGTGCGTAATTACGATCCATGTGCTCAAGCTGCTTATTTTTAGGTTTTTCCAATTTTCCCCCAATTTGGTAGTGATGTTTCGTTCTGGCTTTGGCAGTGCATAAAGACCAATTTTTATAAGAAGCAGTTTAGTTCATGTTTAATTCAAGCACTTTCACATGTTTCAAATACTTTCTAGTCCTTGAAATTGAAGTACTTTCAAGAAACCCTGATGCCATTAAAAACACATTAAAAAGGTGAGTTTGTTGAAGATGTGTGATTACCAGAACATAGACTGATGCCAATAGGGTTTGTTGGCTCCAGTCATGTTCTCTCCAGCCAGTCTGCCGCTGACCACCGCGTGATCATGGTGCTCCACGCGCCGGCGGCCCAGTCTGATGTCATAAAAACATGCAGCATCCCCTGCCTAGAAAACAAACAAAGAGGAAACTTGATTATCGGATCAAAATTGAGATTCAGAACTAGTACAGTTCCTATGAAAACTGAGCCATTCATCTCCTTCATTCTTTAGGACATAAGTGTCTAAATACCCACACTTTAGTAGCATAAGATCCACCTCTCTGCCCTTTCGTAAGTTTTGCTGGAAAAAAACCTCAGTCCTACATACCACCCAGATATTGGAGCGAGCCTGGAGCTCAGCGTTAACCCGGTACCCTCCGAAATCAGAGTCCACCTCCAGCCCGCCTGATTTGGCAAGTTCCACATTGGGCTCCAAACCAACTGCTGCCACAATGTGGTCCGTCTTCACCTAAAACAACACAAAAAATCTCATTGTTTTTATTTTCCATAATAATACAAATACTGTATAACTATAAAACCGTGTAATTAGCAAATAGATGAGCAGGCCATGTTATGATTGACTGATGGAAAAGCAGACTCACCACTCGACCATCCTTCAGTTTGATCTCCAATTGGTCATTCTTGTAGCTCACATTTTTCACTAGAGCATCTGGGATAACGTTCACACCCTCTAAGAATGGTCAAAAGGTTAGCTGTGGTCAACTTTTCAAAATGCATATTTCTTGAATTTAAAGTTTAAAGTTAAAGGAAGCAATTCCAGTGTCCTTTATTCATTCTCTTACCTTTCCGAACTTTCTCAGTGGTCCAGTTACTCAAGTATTCAGGCAGTACTTTTCCCATGTTACCCTTCTCTGGGAACATCTGGATCACCTCTAAACCAGGGTCCATAGCTATAAGAGGGAGAGAGAAAGAAAGCGACGGCAAAAACAGAGGAAAGGGGAAAATTCAGTAGTTTGTTTCATTAATAATTTTTTTTTTAAACAAAATCCATATTTATATGAAAGCCAATCACAACCTTTATAACAAGATACACAAACATAATTTCAGCCAGTTATTGATTTTAAATGATATGACCTAACTTGTAATTAATAATGTGCTCTATAATGTAATGTATTACATGACACATTCTAAATATGATAAAATCTTACTACTTTTTGATTACTTAGATTATAAAAACAATCCATTTAAAACACTTTAACACAAAGATAAAACAAAGTGTGACCATGTGACTATTACCAACATAATGAAACTGCGGACATACAAATGCGTGGTTAAATGAATGCCTTAACTAACTATTAACTTAATATTTCAGGGGCTAAGTATATATATATTAATAAAAAAATTGTAAATACAAAATGGCAATTGTGCATTTAATCAGTTTGAAAGAAAAAAGCCTTCTAAAGACATACAGTAGTAATACAATGTTAAATGACTCACTGAGTGATAATTCAAATAATAATTCAAAGGTGTTAGTCAGGAGTTGATTAGATATGCATGCAGTGTTGATTTTGAATTCTATTTTACATGTAATTATAGACTATAGACTGTTCTGTGTTTGCAAATCCACAACACATCCACATAATGTGATCATGTAATTAAAAAAGTAACTAATCTGATTATGAGCATTTCAGAACACAATATAATGTAATTAGAACTACATCATTTTTGGAATCTTTTTTTTATAATCAACACTTTTGGCCTGATTTTTTTCCACATCTAAATGACAGCTGAGGGTTTGGACTCACATCTGCGACCCATGGCACATGCAAGCTCGCTACCGAGGAAACCTCCGCCAATGATGGTAATGGACTTCACCTCTCTGCTGATCTTCTCTAGAGATCTAAAATCTTCAATCTACCAAACAAAACCAACACATTTCCATTAGTTTTCCAGTTATTACATATTTTTTAGGATTTGAAGTATAACGATAAAAACTTGTTTTACACTTGAACATAATAACTTTGTTTAATATAGAACTTTACATTAAATATTTTCCCACAATCTTAATTCCCTTGCTTTTTCCAGGACTGTAGGAACAAGATATAGAAAGTGAGCAACATAGAAGGAAAATGTATATCAAGGAAAATATTCACTCCAACAGTGATGTTTGTAAAACTGTACACAAGACTTAAAGTAAATTAGTCCTTTGATTAACAAGGGGGAAAAAAAATCTACTCTTGCAATTTATAGTGGTGTTGCAAAATGCTACAGCGACATTATTAACATAAGGGTGCCCTCCAGTGGTGTTCTGCACATTTACATTTATGAATTTGACATCTCATGAGATGATAAGGATCGGCACTTAGTAAAAGAGCTCATCTAAAGAAGCATGCTATTTTGGTTCTTACTGTACCGACATTGTATATTCAGGTATAATCTGATCATGAATCACGTGCATTTCAGTCAATTGACAAATATTAAAATCAAAATGAAACAGCATTCACATCACAACCCATTTAATATCCTTTGTTTGGGTGAAATAAGATAGTTAGTCAGCAAGGAAAGAAATGGGGCAAGACAGGATTATTCCATCGTCTGAAAAGAAAAGCTTTCAGTGTCTGAGTGATTTATTGCATGTTGATAAAGAAAACCCTTTTCCCTTTAGAATAACATGTACCAATGAATTGTGCACAATAAAACCAGGAACATGTATTCAGAACATAAATGGGATCAGTATTGATTTCATGTGGACAAACATATTAATTGGGGATTTAATTTGAACACTACTGCTCCACTCTGCCCAAAATATCTTCAGCAAGACATACTTTCCTAAAGAGGGTTGTCCTCTTCGTCACCTCCTCTGTTCCCCTTTCAATCACTTGAAGGTTCCTAGGCACCCCACCTAATACACATTCACAATATTAATTTACAGGACAGCAATAGATTATAAACCATATGTGTTCACGTGCATATTATGTGTTTTACCTGTGGCAATCAAGCACTTTTCATAGGAGATCTCTGCACCATCACTCAGTTTGACTTTGTTTTCTCTGACATCCATGTGTACCACCTACACCATAGGTACAAACACACACAGGGTAATAATTCGGACAACTCATTCACACACATTTAGCAATCCATAAAACATGTCCTCCTCTGCTGCAACTTCAGCATTTTTCAGACTTGTTTAAGTGGACATAATTAAGAGGGCAACATGAGACGCTGATGTCAGAGTTTCTCACCTTACGGCCCGTGAGCACAGCCACACCCCCATTCTCAACTTTAGCAAGATCCGCGGGACTGATGTAGAACGAGGGAGGTTGGAAGTAAATACTACAACAAATAGAAATAAATTAATATCACGATATATGCAAACAGACTGAACAAAAAATTCAGAAAAAGTATGCAATTATGACCCTTCAACAAATAAGTCAGTGTATCAGTGTTAGGTCTGGTTTACGTAGTCTGGAACACTCGTCACACACCTCCTCTCTTTGCCGTTCCATTGTTTGAAGCGCAGTGTTTCAGTGACCTTGGGGTCATCCGAGAACCAGAGTTCTTTAGAGAGAGGGGGTCTCATGTAGGGATGTTCAGACTCCTCTGTTACAATCAAGACCTGTATATAAACACACAGGACAAACACACTTTAATACATAGATATGTTTTGCAGATGGGATTTAGAATGGCCACATCTGTGGTTCATAATTATCATTTTTAAAATTGGAAGAAAACTAAAAGATTCCATGAAATGTATTTTAAAATGTACGCAAACTTGTGCACCGACGATATTAATTAAATACATTTAATGAAACTT